GCAGGATTATGATCTTTAGGAAGGGTTTGAAAAAACTGATTTCTCTCTAGGTATTTGATGGTGCTGTCATAATCTTGTCCTTGGCACCAATGGTGGCCTCAACAGTGGCTAATGGCCCCAGCAGCCCATGGGATGCTATCAGCCTTATTATCACACTACGAATATGGAGAGTGAAGAGGATCATTGATGGTGAGTGGTGATTCAGTTTGTGACTCCCAAGAATTACCTGGCAGGCTGGGAAAAAAGAGATTTTAAAAATATTTAAAGATTGCTTGCCACCGCTGTTTCTATTGTTCTCCTTCCTCTTACATTTTAAAACCGCTGAACAGAAGAGTTTTGCCTCCCATGGAGGAGAGTTGGTCTCAAGTTCAGGGCTGTATCTCCTGTTTCCTATGAGCTTTTAGAATTGATTCGTTTGCTTTTCTGCTAGGCACCTTCACATCCCCTATCCTGTAAAGTAAATGCCCTGACCTGCTTCCTCTTTTTTGCCAACAGATGTCATTCCCGATTCTGCAAAATAATTGCTTCCAGTCTGCTTTTCTGATATTTGCTGCACCCTCCCCATTTCCATACAGCTAGTTCTGTCTTGGGGCTGTCTTCTCCAGGTTCTTGTCTGTAATACGATTTTTTATGTTAGGTTCTAGGAGCATTTTCTTACTATGGGGGTTCCATGCTGAAAGTGCTATCTGCAGTGATGGTGCGCTGTACAGCATAATAATGTAGTGTGTGTCGGTACTGTTTTGCACAGACCTCTGTGGGGAAGCACCAGGGGACGTAAGAAAGCCCCAGCAAGTCAAGGTTGCAGAGAGCAGAGCTGGTGATTGTGCCTGGAAGAAAGGACTTCAGTGTAGGCTACTTTGTGTTCAGTGCTTTCAGGCATTTCAGGTTACAGGGAGAAGAGGTGGAAAAGGAATCAATGAAGGGTCACTTTGCTTGTGTGTGAAAGATCAGAGTCAAGTTCTTACTTTGGGTTTAGATGCCCAGGAAACTCTGTATTCAGAGTTGAGGAAAGGTCACAGCCCTCTGACTGAAGTGCACAAAAAAAGTTCAGAATCTTGTGTAGCTTCAGAAAACATCAAGAATTTCAATATGCATTGAACAGCTTTGCTGATCAGTCTGAGTTTGCCTTAGTTATGACAGGACCTAAATTTCCAGAGGCGTTCAGAACACCTATTGAAAACTGGGCTGTAGCTTGAAAAGCAATAGAAGATAAATGCCTTTTTGTTTTTTAAAATATCCTTCTTAGTCTGCTGTTTCCATTAAGGACTTCTTACCGCAGAGTCTAGGAATTAAATGCTAAGGGCTCTGGAATAGTTCTTTTCCTAAGGGAGCCATGCTGTTCAGGTTTAGAGGGGTTGGGCCTAATTCTAAGCAGAAAATCCTCCTACCCAGCAATTCAGGAAACTTCTGGTAAACACTGGAAAAGCTCTGTATTAGTGCAGC